CATCAGAAATGAGTGATAGAAACGCCAAATTTCTGGAAAAAAATCCCCTAATTTGCAAAAATGTTAATTCGCTCGCTTGAGGTGATTTTTGACTTCTTTCGAATAATGGGAGATGGAAATGCATTTGCTGAATAAATTCCTCCATGCCCATCAAATAGTCCTGCGATTTTGCGCTATGGTACGGCATTACCTGACTAACCAGCGGACCGATTTTATGGTCATTCTGAAACACCTGAGCAAAGCCGTCAAAGTATGTCTGTATAACTGCTTCCAGGACTGTCTCACGAGACTGCGTTTCCATCTCAGAAAGCAATGACCGCATGTATAGTGCTTCGTCTGCTCGCGTTATTTATTATATATGAAAATTATTGGGGCAGTCGTGGCCTAATGGTTAGAGAGTCGGAGTTGTGGTTGTGGGTTCGAGTAGGTGGGGGGGAGTGAATAACCAGCGCTCTCTTCCACCATCAATACCACGACTGAGGTTTGACCCTTGACCCTTGACCCTGTGTGTGTGCACTTATTATATTCAGTGGCTTCTCCTACATTTCTTAGTGATATTTAGTGCTAGTTTATCAGGAAGTGACTCGCTGGATGGAAACGGTGCTAATTCACAAATGTTTTATGCGATATTCCAGTTTTGCACATAAGTTAAATTCGCAACTTTGGATGGAAACCCAGCTTGTGCATCTATGTATTTCTAATCAGTGCTGTTCGATCATCTGCTTGTCTCATGATCATGAAGTTTTTCTTTGTTCTGCAGCAGACGGGCGGTCACAGAGCATCAGCTGATGCATGATCGCGGTCGCTCCATCCAGAGTCTGAAGAGGCTGATCTGGCTGTCCAGCGCCATCGAGCGGCTTCACACCGCGCAGACCCGCTCACTGACCGCCGGCGAGCCGGACAGGAGGTGGCACTCTCACGACCCGGCGCCGCTCTATTCTCAGCCCAGCAGCAGCCACAAGAGGGCGCTGGAGACGCTGTTGAGCAACATGTACAGACCTCACCTGACCGCTGCGCTCGGCGACGGAGAGAAATAACATCCTCACAAATATCCCATCTGATGTCCGGTGAAAACTCGCCAATTACTGTCCGACCCTGACTAGAATGAGGCACAACGTTTCCCAACAAAACTAGATCGCTGTCGTTATGATCAACGAAACATGCTAGTTTCATAAAGATAGGTGTATTGATTATAACGTAACCTTGATAGCACACATACATCACAGAGACGTCTGTTTGACGTCTGCAAGACGTATTTTTTAGAGTGTTTGCTCATCTGCAATACATCTACAGGACGCTTCCTATCAGATGTCAAATAGACGTTTAGAAGATGTCTTTAAGATGATTTAGAATGAATGTAAAACTGACATCTTAGAGACGTTTATCAGATGTTTGTACACAGCAGATGCTTTCCAGATCTTTAGCAGACCTCTTGCAGACGCACCTGTCCCAGATAGCACACATACATCTGCGAGACGTCTGTTAAAGATCTGGAAAGCATCTGCTGTGTACAAACATCTGACAGACGTCTCCAAGATGTCAGTTTTACATCATAAACATCTTCTAAACGTCTATTTGACATCTGATAGGAAGCGTCCTGTAGACGTATCGCAGATGAGCAAACACTCTAAAAAATACGTCTTGCAGACGTCAAATAGACGTGTCCGTGATGTACGTGTGCTATCAGGGGTGCTATCTGGGAAGCGATTTAGTTTTGGCGCTTTCTGCTCATCCGTGATCTTCACCTGCATTCCCGTGCTGAGTAAATCTGCCTGTAAGTCTTTAAGATTTATTTAAGACGTATAAAATGTTGGTATGTATGCTTGGACGGGTTTCAAATATCTAGTAAATCATCCTTGCTGGTATATTTGTTTATATGGATGTCAGATCGTATTTTTGATTTATTGTATGTGTGCGTGATTAAAGATGCTTTTCAGTAAACTGCAGTCAGAACTAATTTCGGATGAAACCGTTCAAATGTGCTGAAGTGAATTTTGTGTTTGTCATACATAAAACGAAGCATCGCACACAAAAACAAGACATTTATTTTCGTTTTCCAAAATAGTGAAGGTAGTGCATGTAATATTTGTATTTATTTATTGCTTGCACAATATTTCCAACTATTTCAAATACAGCTGCAACATTATTTTCAATTTACTACATCACATTTCACAGTGCTCGGTATGAATTTGTGCTCTGACCAGCGTGAATATAAAATGATAAATAAAGTGAAGCTGAAGTTCAGAATATAAAACTGTATGAAACATGTCGCACCAAAACAGAACATATACGCAAAGTGACTCATTCAAACGTAAAACTAATTATTCAAAAAGTATAAATCCTCTTCACAGAAATACAGGAAACATAAGTACTAAATGAATCTGTCAGTATTCTAGTATTTAACGCAGAAGGTAAAAACAGTGTTATTGGCGCACATTTCTCTCTCATTCACACAAACACACTCTCTTCACTTCTGGACCAGTGTTCGTTAGCTATCGCTTCCTTATGCTGCAAAATATAAAACTGTATGAAACATGTCGCACCAAAACAGAACATATACGCAAAGTGACTCATTCAAACGTAAAACTAATTATTCAAAAAGTATAAATCCTCTTCACAGAAATACAGGAAACATAAGTACTAAATGAATCTGTCAGTATTCTAGTATTTAACGCAGAAGGTAAAAACAGTGTTATTGGTGCACATTTCTCTCTCATTCACACAAACACACTCTCTTCACTTCTGGACCAGTGTTCGTCAGCTATCGCTTCCTTATGCTGCAAGAGATTAAAAAAAAAATTGCTTTAATTGACAAGAATAGGTTTGAATACGCATTTAAACCATAATTTTATGTATGTGATGAGAGTCACATTTTAGCTTAGCCACATGCTAACGCCAAGCGCACGTGTTTGTGTGTGTGTTTAGGATGGTAAATGAAATTTCGGCCTGTGAAGAGTATTTCAAATCAAACAGTCAAGTGAGTATTTTTACGAAAAAATAGTAAAAATGTGGTATTTTATTGCAGTTGTATTTTAATTAACATTTTTTATTTTTAATTTTCATTTTAATTATAGTTAGAGTTTTAGTAATTTTGTCGTCTGTTTTTGTCATTTTTATTTGTCTTTTTTAAATGTCTAATAGTTTTTCAAATGAATTTTTATGTCAGTTTTTTTTTTTTTTTTAAGTAATTTTACACCAAGGTAAACTAAACGAAAATGAGAAATGTTGCCTTGGCAAATAGCTGAAATAAATTTAAAATAAAATAAAGAATTCACTGTAAACCACGGCTTCTTGGGGCTTATTGCTTTTATAAAACGTAATTAAAAATTAATTTTAATTAAAAAAAAACTTATTTTTTCAGTAAACGTTTACTTTATTTCAAGTAACAGAATTAAAAAAAGTTAGTGGACTATAATATCCCTGTTTCAGCGTCAATGGTTGTGTTTGTTCGTGTAAGTGTTCGTTAAAGATCGTCTCTTACATCACTGCAGGATCTCGGCTAGTTTGTCTTGGTAGTACTCGTAGTTCTCCTGGCAGTCCTCCCAAAGTGTGAACGTCTGCTCGTCGTTCTCCGCTAACGTGTCCCAGATGTAGGTGAAATCCAGCGGCTTCATCATGCGCAGTTTGCAACCGGCGGCCGCCAGCGCCTTTAGCCCCGCCCCGATCTCAGGCTCCTCCCACTCGAAGAGCCGCGCGGAGTAGATGGACAGATGGAGGCTCTTCCTGGACTTCAGGATCTCGGCCAACTTCGCGGCGCAGGCGGCGCACGGACTGGACGACATGTACCAGGTGATGGTGTATTTGAGGGCGGGGTCGTAGTTGGGCAGGACCTGCTGGAAGAAGGCCTCCTCGGCGTGGCCGCTCGCGTGCTCATCCTCGATGAAGCCCCTGAGGAGCCCTCCGGAGCCGGGCCCCTGGTCCACCAGGTAACACAAGAAGGTTTTGTTCCGGCCGGAGGAGTACTCCACGTTCTTGAACTGGAACTTGAAGAAAAACGGGTCCATGCGATCCCTGTGGACACATGAGGAGGTGAATTCAAGCCCTGCACAGCACCCTCTACTAGCCTCCTCGCATTACACAGTATTTTCACTCATGAAAAGTGCATCTAAGTATATTTCCCATCAGTCCAGAGTCTGCAGTAGGGCTGGGTTAAAAATATTGAATTCTTGATTTTGATTAACCTGATATTTATTCCCAAATCCCATGTTTTCAGTTGCATCAGATCATATTTTACCGACTCCGTCGTTCAAATTCATTCATCAAAACTAATTTCGTTCGTTTGAGCGGTGTGTTATATTTTCAACAGCCAAATTCCCTGAACATGTCCACCTGTGCAGTCTTGATCATATTCCGAATTATGAAATCATTATAATACTGCCAAAGATAGTTTATGAGGAACAAAAATTATTAAATGACAGACACAATCGTTCACGGATGACAGCTGATGCATGAACAAACTTAATGAAAACTTAATGAAAGATTATTTGTAGCGCGCCTCCCATCCAATAAATCGCTATAATCTAAAGTCTCAAGCATTTAAATTCTGTACGTTTTATTATTTGGCGCTCTTTCGCTGCAGCGTGTCAGTTCAAGCAGCAGTAAACAATAATCTCTTCTGCTTTAAATAAACATGAATGAACATCATATGTTTAAAGAAGCAGTCCAACTTACTGAAATGAATCCTGAATCATGCTCAATCAGTGTTTCAACGGCGGAAAGACGTCAATAAAACCAGCTTGAAATGTCACGTAACGTCACATTTACCTCAGGAAAGACATTCAAGATCCATAAACTCAATAGTTTACACTCAGTGACTTGTTTAGTAAGATTTTATTGCAACTCAGTTTTTGCCATGAAGATAGCCTAGCAATAAAAATAAATAACTACTACTAAACTCCATAGTCAGCTAGACGAATGAACTCTAGAAAGGAGCATTTTGATAAATATATACACTATATTAGTGCTTACATTTTTCGAAATCCTTTATATGTTACTTTATATGTGTTTGAATAAATCATAATCATGAAAACGAGTTATGACATCCACTGTTTAAATGTTTATATTTCAGCTGGAGTGAAAACATAATTATATCATTAAAACGTTATTATAATATATTTTGATTATTAAAACTGCCTTATGTTCGATTTAAATGTTTGTTTACAAATCACTTTCATAGAGTAATGTACCAGCTGACAGGGTTTATTGTATATTATAAAACAGATAGTTCCGGTGCTTGATTCTGATTGGCTGAGCCGCGTTTGAAGCTGTTGTAAATTACTCTACAAAGTAACATACACCTTTGTTTACGTTTGTGTGTTGCTCGGCAACCACTTTGTAGCAACCACAACTGTTTCTGAGGAGCTACATTGTTTGGTGGAAGAATACTGTTTTTATTAATATCATTACACTTTATTTGCTCTGTTTTATTTTGTGAAACCTTAGTACGTATATGTGAATAACCGTTTTCGTGTCGTGCCTAACAACGCCCCTTAGCTGTTATAAATTCACTGTAAACCACGGCTTCACGGGGCTTATTGCTTTAGTTTACAGCATTAGCTGAGAGATATAACAACATTTACTGCACCTGATTGCCTATATAACCAAATGAATCAATATATCAAATCAAACCGAATCGAATTGAAGCTTGAGAGTCACAGTCGAATTGAATCGTGAATTCGTCTCAATAGCCAGCCCTAGTCTGTGGCCTCTGAGAGGGTTTCTGTGGTTGTTTTTAACAGCTCCTCCACCGGCTGACAGATGGAGGGGCTGTTAGGGTTATAAATACCCTCGGAGGGGGCAGAACTTTATTCTGGGACTCTGATCCATATACAGAACCCACGGTTTGGAGGTATTGTGCTGCCAGATGAAACGGATTCAACCGTAACAAGCACCTGCCACGAGATGATCCACAACAATTCACAGCTTCAATGTGTCGACAGAATCAAACTCATCAAGCACGTTTGGATTCATAAGCGTCAGTCGGAAATGGAAATATCTGGACTGAAAGTGTTAAACCCTGAACGCTCAACAATATTGCCAAGACACCAATCAGAGATCTCAGTGTGAACTCAAACAATTGTCATCGGATCCGCTCCACTTTGGTTTCATAGCTCTAGACTCTTACTGGATGATGACTGGGTTGTTTTATTCCGGTTTGGGAGTTTTAAGAGAAGCAGGTGGTTGATAGCTAAATCAGATTCCAGCTCCAAGTCAGTCTGATGGACTGTAGCTTCGGTCAAGAATCGTCTTCTTCTCAAGAACCATTTTTGACGGTTTAGAGTTCTTAAAGGAACACGCCACTATTTTTGAAAATAGGCTCATTTTCCAACTCCCCTAGAGTTAAACAGTAGAGTTTTACCATTTTCGAATCCGTTCAGCCGATCTCTGGGTCTGGCGGTAGCACTTTTAGCTTAGCATAGATCATTGAATCTGATTAGACCGTTAGCATCTCACTCAAAAATGTCCACCAAGAGCTTCTATATTTTTCCTATTTATAACTTGACTCTTCTGTAGTTACGTCGTGTACTAAGACCGACGGAAAATGAAAAGTTGCGATTTTCTAGGCCAATATGGCTAGGAACTATACTCTCAAATAGTATAGTATATACTCTCTATACTCTCAAATAGTCCCCAGCTAGGTAACTTCCAATTAGCCTATTTTCAGGCGCTGCGTAATATCATTGCGCCTGCTGCACCCATGGTACGGCAGCAAAGTTCCTTGATTATTACGCCGGAATGAGAGTATAGTTCCTAGCCATATCGGCCTAGAAAATCGCAACTTTTCATTTTCCGTCGGTCTTAGTACACGATGTAACTACAGAAGAGTCAAGTTTTAAATAGGAAAAATATAGAAACTCTTTGGTCATTTTTGAGCGAGATCAGTGGCGGTTCTACATTGAATTACACCTTGGGCGAGACCCCCTTCGAGCGCCCCCCCCCAAACAAACACAAAATTCTGCATAAACAGTTATATTTTATTATAACAACATAAGTGAAAGAGAAAATTATATTTCTCAATTGCACAAATCCTTCATTAGAGCATTTGAAAAACACACTTAAGAGAATCCTATATATAATAATAAATGTTATTTATGACAGTATAAGTTATCAGAACTTAAATAAATATACACTATACACTGTATCTAATTTGCATATTAATGTGTTCTTGGAGCAACATTTAATGAAAAAGGAAGTGTAATAATTGGAGTAATAATTAGCCAAAAACCGCTACTGAGCGAGATGCTAACGGTCTAATCAGATTCAATGATCCATGCTAAGTTACAGCTAAAAGTGCTACCGCCAGACCCGGAGATCGGCTGAATGGATTCGAAAACGGTAAAACTCAACTGTTTAACTCTAGGGGAGTTGGAAAATGAGCCTATTTTCAAAAA